CCCCTCACCGCCACGCTGGCTCGGGTGGGGTCTGTCTGAATGTGAAGCCTCCTGCACTCCATCACCCCTCACTGCTGTGCCCATTCCTTCACCCGATCCACTCGTGCGTGAGTGAGCTCCTGCTCGTCAGCAGCAAGCAGACAACAGGGTGCACAATGGCTCCTTTCCTGTGGAAGCCCTGTCCCGAGAGGAGTCTCGTCCCAAGCTCGGGGAGGCCTGTCCCAGGAAGAGCCCCATCTCGGTGGGAAGTCCCGCCCTGGGGGAAGTCCTGTCCCGGGAGGAGTCTGCAGCTCCGAGTCCTCTCCCTTCATGGCACAGTGCCCCGACGGCCCCTCCCAACATTGCCACTCAGGGACACGGGGCTTCTCCTGTTCTCAGAGCCTCTGCTCTTTCATGGAGACCTCGAGAAGGAGACTGGAGAGTCCAAGGCAGAAAGCTAAGGAGTGTGCCCAGGTGCCCCACCACAGCTGCCTCAGCACTGGTCCCCACACCTGTGGGTGGGGGCTGGAAAGAGCATGTGCCTGGGTGTCCCCTTCGCATCCCACCACAGAGCACTTGTGGGCCATGTCAGAGAACCAAAGTGTCTGAGGGCCACTCAGTTCCAGACCAGGGAGAAGACTGGGGCAGTGCAAACGCTCACAGACACACATCCGAACCCAGCCCAGCACCCGGCCCCATCCCCCACACTCCAGCTGGCCATCTGCACCATGCTCGGGGCCTGGGTCTGCAGGAGGGGCAGTCATAGCCACTAACACCTGTGAAGGCTTCCAGGTACTGAGAGAGGCACGTCACCTACAGGCCACCTCCCCAGCAGCGCTACGGGGCAGTTATCTCCCCCATTACCGACGAGGGGGAGACTGAGTGATCTCCTGGGGTCACAGCTAGGAGCCAGAGAGAAGCTTCCTGCCCAGGCCACCTGCCCCCGAGCTCCGCCCTCTCCGAGCGGCAGGGGTCAGAGTGCAGCGCGTGTAAGAAGCACGGGGAGAGCGGGGAGAGGCAGGCCACGCAGCATGTCTCTAACCCACCCCAGGAGCCACTGATGCTGTGGTCGGAGGGCTAACGCGGGGCCACGTTTGCTCCTGTACAGCATTTGGTCTCAGGACCCCTCCCCGTGAACCAATGCCTGGAATGGGATGGGCAGTAAGGAAATACGTGGAAAGGAAGGAAAGGTAAGAGCAGAGCCCATCGCTAGGCCCCCAAACGGTCCCACTGCATGAATTCCATTTGCGGCATGAGTCACATCCTTCTCCTACCCCTGACTCAGTACTGGAAGCTTTAGTAACCCAATCTGACTCTGCTAGCTGTCAGATACTGCAGATCTTAACAAAAGGAACAGAAGGAAGAGAGGTGGGACAGACAGACAGATGGAGCACAGAGCTTCTTGGGTCACACAGAGGAACCACCACTACGCACGCAGCTACTCCTGGCTCTACCCTCTGCTCATGAAGGGGCAGCTGATGGGGGAAGAATAGAGGCTGCCAATCTCCCCTCAGGCCACCAACACGCTGTCCTCCCTGCCTGCCCTGCCCATTGCTGTCTCTGGGTACCCTTAGACAGGCCCTTGTTTTCACCCAGCTCCGTAAGGAGAATGGCTAACATGTTACTTACACTGTACTCGGCTGACAGCCCTCTGTCCGTCTCCCGAAGTGAGCTCCAAGGGAACTGTCCAGTAACTTTATATAAGTTTACAGAGAAACTAGGAGACAATGGGACAGAGCTTTAAAGGCTGGAACAGTGATTACAACCTGGAAACATTTAACTCAACAGATTTACAACGCATGTCTGGGCCTCCTCTTCCCGAGGAAACACAGCGTGCCGCAGTGCTGAGCAGGGTGGGCTTCCTGTGCACGGCCTCGCTGTACAAGCAAGCCGCCTACTTTAACTTCTAACCCAGCCACTGAACTCAGCGAGCTGCTAGGCTTCCTACTTTCTTTCGAAGTTTCCAGGCTGTGGCTTGAAGAAGGACAGGCCATACGATGTTTCTTTTGTCCCGTAGGAAAACTGAAAGGTCACCTTTTCTGCCCGCCCTAGAAGATTAGGGAGTTTGAGGCCAAGCACCTAGGAGGAAGAGAAAAACAGGAATGATCTAAAATGAAGGAGGAACTATTCGACAAACATTCAAACATATCAAAGACCACACAGATGGTGGCAGACCGGGCAATGCCATATCCTACTACACGTGAGGTCGCTGTCAGTCGGAGCCAACCCCACAGCAACTCCCCCCAACCAGCTGAGGACTCTTGTAGAAACAGGGTCAAACGCAGGCCACAGTCCTGCCTCAGCTGTAACTGCCTGCATTCTGCACTTCTCTGCTGAGTGGGCGCACCCTGCACACGGGGCTGATGGTGGGCAAGACAGGCTACACTCGCCCATTGTGAGGCTCAATAAATTCTACGAATCAGGAATTTAGGAGAAGGGGAACAAGAGACTATCATCACCAACCTTCCCCAAACCATTCCTAATTAATTCTTGATGTTAATATCTCCACCAAACATCCCAAACCCACCAACCCGCTGCTGTGGATCGCGACTCATAGCGACCTGACTGGACAGACAACAGCCCCACAAGATTTCCAAGGCTATGAGTCTTTACAGAAGCGGACTACCGTATCTTTGTCCTACGGAACAGCTGGTGGGTTTGAATGGCTGACCTTCCAGTTAGCAGCCAAGTGCTTAATGGCTGAGCCACCAGGGCTCCTTAAACAATCCAACACACATCACAACCAATTCCAGGAAGATTAAAGAGAAATCACAAACAACAACAGGCTACTTTCACATCAAGACTAGTGCCTGGAACAAGGAAGTGACCTGAAGCTATCACCAGCTTTCAGAACGGTGTCACATTTATAAAGCCCTACTTTCAAGTTCCAACACTAAAAAGCCAGCCGCTGGACCATACCATGCTGCCTTCATTGTTCCCGACCATGGTGTTGTAGCTGCCTGTCAATCTCCTTAACTCAGTCACCTCAAACGTGACGTCTAAGCCGTTAGGAAGGGCATCATCACCTATGTAGATAAAAAATACCAGACAATCAGCCAGCTGCCATTTTACATCAGGCCCCACCACCAAAAACTGTTTACTTTGTGGACAACCTCCCCCAGAAAGCACACCACACGTTCTGCAGCATCAGGGTGCTCCCCAAGCAAACGCCAGCAAGTCCAAAGGCCCGCAGTGTGCCAGGCCCTCAGGGGCCCGTCTCCTGACTGTGTCTCTGCCTGACCCGTCATCACTCTCATTCCCTCAGGTCCACCTTCCGGTTCCTTCAAGCACCTGGGGACCACCGAGCTGTGCCCTCTGACCACGGCCTGTCACAAGGCTGCCCCCTCCCTAGCACCTGGGGACCACCAAGCTGTGCCCTCTGACCACTGGGCCCGTCACATGCTGCCCCCTCCCTAGCACCTGGGGACCACCGAGCTGTGCCCTCTGACCACTGGGCCCATCACAGGCTGCCCCCTCCCTAGCACCTGGGGACCACCGAGCTGTGCCCTCTGACCACTGGGCCCGTCACATGCTGCCCCCTCCCTAGCACAGGTGCCATCCCTCCCCTCACCACTGGGCCCTGCTCCCCGAGCTACCCCAGCTTATGTATCACCCCTTCCAGGACCCTGCTTTGATCCCCGTCCCCTGCCTCCTAGTCGACAAGGGCCCCCTTACAGCATCTATCAAGTGGCACCATCACCCCATTTGCCTGCCCCCAGCCCCTCCCCGCCCAGACGCTTTCTACGAGGAGACACTGTTGTCTGCCGCTGGGTACCTGGCACAGGGTCCGACCCACAGCAGGCCTTCCTGACGAAAGAATAAACACTCACTGAATTGAGGGACATGCTCAGCATCACACAGCAAACAAGCAAATGAACAAGAACGAAAACTGCAATCTGCTTCCCAACGGCTCCCTCCAGTAAAGCAAGTTGGCCAGGAGTGCACTCAGGGGCCACCAGGCGGGGAGGTGCCTAACGCCGGTTGGCTCCCTCCTTCCGGACCTGTCTCTCAGAGCCCTGGTGTAGCCCAGGCACCCAGAAGACAGTGTCCTCACAATTCATGCCACCCCAGGCTTGACAGCAAGTCCAGTTACTTCCCAGAGACTGCCAACGGCCAGCCCTTCCAGGCCTGATACACACGTGGCCACACAGCTTTTCTGGGATCCGGTAGGATGGTCACCACTGTAACGCATACCTTGACATGTGTCGATCAAAACGTCCACCTGTCTGAAAATTCCTAGACGGAGCAATTTTTCACGAGCCTCGTGAGATTTCCGCATCACCTACAAGGGGGGAGAGACAGAGCACGTGCTCCTGTAAAGTACAGAAACCCAACCGGTGGCCACAGGGCCAGGCCATCAGTTTACCACCTGGTGCTAAGTCATCAGCCACTGAGAAAAGGCAGGGACAGGTGCAGAGACGAGTCTGGGCTGGAGGCGTTGTGTGGCAACTCCAGGTGGGAACGGTGAGAAGGCGGCTGCACACCAGGCCTGAAGCTCAGCAGACAGAGCGGCAGCTGGAAACCGAGCGGGTGGAGCAGGGTCGCGAGGCCGTCCAGGGAGCATGCGCGCAGGCCTAGACCGCTACTGCAGGAAGCAGCACGCAAGGACGGGCACGGGAAGGGGCACCGAGGGACGGACATGGGGAAGGGGGTACGTGAGGGCGGACTCGAGGAAAGGGGCATGGGAGGGCGGACTCGGGGAAAGGGGTGCGTGAGGGCGGACTCGGGGAAAGGGCTGAAAGGGAGCCACGGGGGCATGTGGAGAGGTGGGAAGAAGCCTAGGAGAGTGCCTGTCCCGGAAACCACAGGGAGAATGACCAGGAAGCAGGAGGGCACACATCAACCCCAGAGCAGTGACAAAGCAGGAGAACCCTATTTACCCTAAGTGACACAGCAACGGCTTCTTTAATATGCAAGAACCAAAAAAAAAACCCAAACCCACTGCCATCGAGTTGATTCCAGCTCACAGCGACTCCCTTCAGGTTTCTGAGGCAGTCAATCTTTATGGAAGTAGATTGCCCAGTCTTCCTTCCATGGAGTGGCTGGTGTTGAACTGCCAACCTTCTGGTTAG